AGAGCGAGAACTTGGTCATTCTCATCAGGCGCAGGTAGAAGATGCTCTTTGCTCTTGTAGGAAGTTAGCTAGACTCTGTAGACATCACACTCGGTTAGGGATCAGCAAATCGTGTGTCTGACTATTCGCTACAAGTCTTGTGACAGGAAACTATTGTTGTTAAACATTCATCATCAAAGTTAAGATAGTTCTTAAACGCATCCCTTCTGGAACAATTGGATGTGTGAACACATTGCTCAGTGTAAATAACGACTCGTTTTCCGAACAAAACCTGTTTACTGAACAGTAAATGCTAAACCCACTATTGTCATGAGATAAGACTGTGTGTTGAGAGCTACTATGGCTCAATGACGATTCTCACTTGCACGTGCAGCGTCTTGTCGTGATTTGTCTTTGACAACGTTCCAGCTAACCCGTCAGTCTTGCTGCAGGAGCCGATAGTGAATTAGATTTGATCCAAGTGACATACGCTGCCGCTATATAGGCATTATGGACCACGATCTTTGTTTTAAAACAAATGAATATATATGCATTATTTAATTATTATGAGGGAAATGGTTTCAATGTTCCAACAACTCGATTTCTGATCAACTGTTAGGAACAAATGAAGTTCGATATCCGAGGGTCCGGTGGTAGTAGGCAGAAATTAGATTTATAATCTTCATTTAAAGAGAAATAACACGCAGTTAATAACTACATTAAAACATAAACAATTTCTTTTCATTTATCTTTTATTGTTGTGCAATGAATAATTTTATTTAATTTAACAAAATTGTGGGAAATTTTAAATGTATTGTCAATCAAAAAATAAAACACAATTAAATAACATTTAAACATAAAGAAAGGGTGGGGGAAAGGAAGGAGGCGGGGTGGGAGTTTGCAAAACCTATAATAACTTGGTCAGTTATGGAAGGCAGATAACGTCTCTGTTGTTGCATACATCTGCAGACCTACTCAGTTGTATATCCTCCCATGATGATTATTGGATGTGGTCTAAAATTTGAAGTAGAAACGTCAGTCGATGGCACATCCATGGGAAATGATAGCTGACACTGTCATTACACGATTTGATTGCATGGATGAAAATATGGCAGTGCCACATGACGTGAACATTGATCCGACAGTTGCACTGATAGTTGGAGACATCCACTCATCCATCTGACAACCTGTGACATATACTTAGAGAAACAATGCGATTTTCTAGTTTCAGAATACAACATATAGTTACCGCATAAAGTAAACACATAGTTTTGCTTTATATATTAGTCATGGAACATATCAAAGTTACTAACTGGGAAGGAACTAATACTCTGTTGCTAATTCTTTATCATCACAATCTACACAAGAAAGTAACAATTTCCACCGGCTGAAAATCAGTCTAAGGGGCTGTTCAATTTGACAGCTCTTGAGTTAATAGTCACCTAGTTTTGGGAATTTAGCCATCACATATTTCGGTTGCCAACGTTTTCTTATTCCGTTACCTAAGCGCGTCTTGGGAATCAAAGGTGTTGCAAAACGACCCTCAAAAATATTCATTTGATAAAGAAGCTGTTGTTACACTGTATTTCGAACTTGTCAAACAATATACATAGTGAATAAAGAGGCTCGGTAGAATGGGGGCATGTATGGTTTTCATTGGTTAAGATTTTGGTAAATATTCATTTGACTCGCACACCTGTATTCCCATGCCAAAGTCTCATTGCTAGCGTATCATAGACACAGAGAATCTCAACACAGATCACCTTCTCCGCAGCACCGCCGGCATTCATAGGTATATGTAAGACAACCGTCAGTGGAGCCGCTTTGGAGCTATTTCAAATAATAAAAAATTCAAACTACAACGGCTGTCTATTATCATATGTCAAGCACAACACAATAAATCTAAATAAACGAAGACAAACGAAGAAAAGAAGAAGAAAACAAATGGCATAGTGTTTAAATGATTTGGCAAAAATGTTGTAACTGAAACAGGAAGGCATAATATGCCCTGGACTCTGGTGATAGCCAGAGCAAACCGCCTGCCGGCAAACTAATTTTAACAAGGCACTTGATGATGATTATACCTGTGCAGCTGACAGTTTCATAAGCTGAAATTATGGGCCTAGTTAGAGCACACAGAGAGTCTCCAATTTTATGGACAGACAAGAAATATCTACACTATTCAAAAACCACTTTGGTAAATTTACATCGTTTATTGTAGATAAGAAGGGTGTCAGAATATGTGCTTCATAACAGACTTTGGAGGACTCTGATGTTGTCTTACCGAAAAGTGAAAAAGTTGTATAATATCGGCTGTCTGAATCTATACCTGGTGGTGTGTAGTCATGAGCAGTTTTGCCACTTTTCTTTGACAAAAAGACACATCCAAAACATCTAGAAAAAAAATCCAAATAGAAAGAGTCACAAATTACATAGCAATTGATATGGACTTAAACTATAGAATCATGTTCTCATCTTTACCGAAGTCTGCCTTACAAGATCCACAGGATAAACTTAGCTTGGATGATGAAGTTGAAGCTACAGATCCAAAATGACTCTGGTATGCTTTAGCTGTTCCAATTTCTTTTAATACCTAATCAGGGAGCTGATAAGTGGAACAGTCTTTTCCTACTCTTATTAGGCCGATTTTTTTTGTCAACATAGCATTTAAGAGGTCAATTTTTAACCTGTTTCTTAGGTTAGACTTGATAAATTCATTCCAAATGATAAACATCTAGAAAAACATCTACCATATAAACGTCAAAAACGCTATCTAAACGCAAGGGAAACATCTAAATCTGGATGTAAAACATCCAATTTGGCAACACTTGCATGAGCGACAAGAGGAGATCATTCCCGTAAGGACAAAATATCTAAAATTCAGTACGTACGACAGAGAATAAAAACACTACCCAGTCTCCTGCAGCGATCGACATTTGATACGTGTCTGCTTCGATACCGGAGCAGTCGTTGTGTAGCGACTAGAAGCTTTCCTGTAGATCGGGATGTCGTTGGTCTGAGTACTGACAGAGCTGGACTTTATTTTTAATTTTTAAAATAATCTTAGTTTAAAGGTCGACCCAGACTTAAATGGTGCTGGTGTAGTCCTTGGAAGTAAAGGCGGACTGCATGATGTCAGCCACATAATCCATCGAGTATTGATTGGTCTATATTATAGGTCATTTAATATATGCCCTAAACGGATGATGGCGTGGGAAAGAGTACTTGTCTTGTCTGTTTTATTTCAGTCTGGCCCACAAAGAGTACGGGTCGTGGAAAGAGTACTTGTTTTGTTTGTTTTATTTCAGTCTGACCCCCAAACAGGACGGGGCGTGGAAAAGAGTACTTGTTTTGTCTGGGGTTATTTTTTGTCAGTATGGCCCACTAACAGGACAGGGCGTGGAAAAGAGTACTTATCTTGTCTGTTCTATTTCAGTCTGGCCCAAACAGCTCGGGGCGTGAAAAAGAGTACTTGTCTTGTCTGTTTTTTTTTTTTTTTTTTTAGTATGGCCCACAAACAGGACGGGGCGTGGAAAAGAGTACTTGTCTTGTCTGTTTTTTTTTTTTTTTAGTCTGGCCCACAAACAGGACGGGGCGTGGAAAAGAGTGGAACGAACCGGTATTCTTGCTAGGACGGCAGGTAGCTATAAGTGATTTGTTGGTGTGGTGGCATTTTGAAACTTAACCTATATGTTAAATATGTTTCGGGTTTTGCCATTGTTGATGTAATCTCGCTGAGCGTATGGTGTCATTATCATATTTCCTTGTTAGCTAATGATCGCTTTAGATTCTGGTGGAGCACGTTGGTTGTTGTTAATGTTAATTTTAATTATTTTGAAGTATACGTTAATTATTCTGTGTTCAGTAAAATAAACAGCGGTTTAATATGATTATAATTCATACGCTTGATTTAATTTAGGATCTGTAGTCCGTGGTTCGTCTAGGTGTATGTACCCATGTAGTTAGGTTGTCGTCATGTAACTCACGACACAGATATTTATTGTTTGGGTTCTGGTGAAATATTCTAGGATCTCTGCGCAGAAGAACCCCCATGATTGTTTTAAACTTTCCTGTTTGTGTTATTTAGCGAGGAACTATTACATTTTGTCTTAATCACAATTTTCCTATATCTCCCCTACTGTGTTTTTCCTTGCTTATTTCTTCCCGCTAGCACACTACCATCATGATGATAATGAACTCCAGTTTTCTCCTTATCATCACATGACTAAAGAATCAACATCAGCTGTGTTCTTTCTTTGATTTTACATGACTTGATTTGAGTTGACTTGACTTACAGGCGGTATTTTTTCCAATAATTAGTCAGTAAAGCGGGTATGACAACGGTCATGTTTTATTTCTGCCTAAAATGTCTGTTTTTAGTTTTGCCTAAAATACCGTTTAAAATTTGCCTAAAATATTATGTTAAATTTTTTTGCCTGAAATATCATGTTTTAGTTTTGCTTAAAATATTATGTTTAAGTTTAGCCTAAAATGTCATGTTTAAGTTTAGCCTAAAATGTCATGTTTAAGTTTAGCCTAAAATTGAATGTTTAAGTTTAGCCTAAAATGTCATGTTTAAGTTTAGCCTAAAATTGTATGCTTAAGTTTAGCCTAAAATGTCATGTTTAAGTTTAGCCTAAAATTGTATGCTTAAGTTTAGCTTAAAATGACATGTTTAAGTTTAACCTAAAATGTCATATCTAAGTTTAGCCTAAAATGTCATGTTTGAGTTTAGCCTAAAATTGTACTGTTTAGCCTAAAGTTTAACATAAAATGTCATTTTTAAGTTTAGCCTAAAATGTAATGTGTAAGTTTAGCCTAAAATGTAATGTTTAAGTTTAGCCAAGAATTCTATGTTTAAGTTTAGCCTAAAATGTTTTGTTTCAGTGTTGGTTAAAGTGTCATGTTTAATTCTGCCTACCAAACTATTTATCTCTGCCTCTAGTAACTCTGTAAAACTTGTACAAGAACTATATAGAGCTGGCTGTAACAACTGTATACAAACTAATAACGGACCACCAATGTCCTGGACTCTGGAGAATAGCATCTTGTTGAACATGACCTTCTATTTTAGCAACGGTTCTTTCGGCCTGAATATTTACCAGGAACTTGATACGGATGCCAAGGGGCTGGATCGGTTTGTGCAGACAACAGGAGACTATCTGATTTTTGTCGTCTCTACTCCGCTATCCATGTTCGGCTGCTTCGCGAACGTTGTTAACTTGACTGTTTTTCTCAAGCAGGGCAGAAACGACTGTGTCACCATCTGCTTGTTTGCCTTAGGGTTTTCAGATTTCCTTTGTTGCTTTACAGTGTTTTTATTTAGCTCATTGTACATCAGCAACGTGATGAATTATTTCTCCATCATTGAACCAGTTGCCCTTGATGTGGTCTTGAGTTACATCGCAGCTATGTTTTACGACATCTCGCAGGGTGTGACCGCCTTCATCTCCCTTCAACGCTGCCTCTGTGTTGCCATGCCGCTGAGGTTCAAGGACATGTTTACCGTGAGGAGATCTGTAGTCATCATGTTGTGGTTCTACGTGGCAACGACCTTGGCATATACGCCTCACTTCCGGACATGCGGCATCTCTGTGAGGCTGGAGGCAACCAGAAACAATACGATCCCGGCCCTGTGGGAGACGTCAGACCGAGCTGAAAGCATCCTCTGGTTGAATTACTTGCTTCACATCGGCGTGGATACCATCTATCAGCTCGTTGTGGTGGTTAGTGCTATTGTGATGATCAGGGGGCTCCAGAAATCGGCAAAGTTCCAGAGCACCAAGTCAACACTAGCAACGACAGACTTTGGAAGTGTACATGACAACTGTCTCAAGCTGTCACAACATACAACAAGCAAGAATGAAAGTAAGAGCAGCAAACCTTGGCAGACCTCCAACAAAAACAGAAATGTTGTGAAGACCATCTTCGCCTTGTCGCTGCTCGCCATTGTTTGCAACACGGAGCGGCTGGTTGTAGTCTACGGGCAGCGGTTCGTGCCAGGGCTAACGTTTGATGGCGCCTACCAGATCATTTTCTTTCTCTCTGCTCGAGTGACGTTTCTCTTCAGCATGATTAACGCCTCTCTCAACGTGCTGGTCTATTACTTCCTCAACCCATCCTACAGGAAAACGTTCCAGGAACTGTTCTGTTGGCGAGAGCAAGAGGCATCTTCAGCCTACAAGTAACTGATTTACAATCAGTACCCTTACATCAGGAACACAATCTTTGCCTCAGTTGTGCTTTTGTCACACAATCTTTGAAATTGTCGCCAGTTTTACAATAAATAGATCATGTTGCATTGATAGAACAGCAGTTTGTGTCTTACAATATCATCGCCTCATTAGGAGTATATTATTAACATTGTGTTAGCAATGCCATTAGGAAAAAAACATCAAGGGGGAAACAAATCGAAACACAAGTGCAATGTTTATGCTAAACCTAAATGTAACACGAGAAGACAGGAATCGAAATGGCGATATCGGGACACAGGTTGGGGCTAAACCAGTAATAAACTACATCAAGACAGAACAGATCAAATGGTTCGGGCATGTGTCGTGATTACCACAAGAAAGTGCAACACACAGATTCCTCTCACCTAGACACAATGAAAGCAAAACTGGAGGTCAACCCCGCAAGGGATGGATGAATGAAAGATTTTAGGTTGTGAATGCTAGTAGCTATACAGTACACACTGTACTTGTACAAGAGGGCTTAAATACATTTTAGGGCTGTACCGAATATTCCTAATTCGTATTCGCTACGGGGCCGAATCGTGGACCTAATTACTGTTCGGTGTTCAGCCGAATACTTGCGGTCTGGTCGAATACGAATTGTGGTTACCTTACACTCATTTCTGCATACACCGCGATGGACTGAAATAACTCTCATTAACACGATAGTTGCTGTTGCCCAAGTATGTCGTAGCGGGGGAAACTGCGACCTGGCTGCATGGTACAGCAGCTGGGAAGGTCTTTGCCTGCTGACTCGACCGAGGCATTACAGCAGAGGTTCTCAAACTGGGTGGGTATGCCAGGGGTACGTCTGCGAAATCAAGAAAAGTCGGTTTTAAATTGTGACATTATTAAATAAGGCATAAAGATATCTAAAAGTTGAAATTTAAATTGCCTTTCCTCGCCACTGTCGAAAAGAGTTGTTTCCTTGTTTCACACTCAAAGTGTATCAGACTGCATAAAATAATAACCGCAGCGTGTTGAAAAGAGTCTTTGTATTTATCTCGAGGTGCGACCGATCCTCCATCTGTATTTGTGAAGGTGCAGCGGATAAGTGAGGTTGTGATTACATTTTGGCTAAAATTTTAAAGCGGAAAATGTCGTCTGTACAATAGTCACTCTTAGCCTTGTCAAGTAACAACTTATATTTAAAGGCAATACGCTCTTTCTTGTTGCTTGTGTGTGTATGTGTGTGTGTGTGTGTGTGTGTGTGTGTGAGAGAGAGCGAGAGAGAGAGAGAGAGCGAGAGAGAGAGAGAGAGCGAGCGAGAGAGCGAGAGAGAGAGAGAGAGAGATAGATAGATAGAGAGAGAGAGAGAAAGAAAGAAAGATCATGCATTTGTTTTGTTTTTTCAGGATGTCTTTGCCTAAATCAAATTTGAAGATGAAGCTAACGAGAATATGAAGGTGCGTTTAAATTACATCGAGCGAACGATGATCTAAATACGAATCTGGCTTCATTCATTCCTGTTTAGCTTTGTTTCGGTTGGGAACGAACAGGCGCCAGAAGAACAATACGTAAACTGGCATAGAAGTGTTCTAACGGCTGCTTGGTTCAGTAACGACGTAGGCGACAGGACCTGTTCACCTGACATCGGGCAGCAGTCACTTCCTTACCTCGTGTCTTTACTGTAGCTGATGTCGAACGGCTAGTTTAATCGCCTTAGCTTTTTATTATTCACTAAATTATGTCAGATAGTCCTATTTAAATGAGGATGGAATGCATGTAGGCCATCTGTGTGGATGTGTGCTAGAATAGCTGAGATAGGCCATATGCTTGGATGTGTGCTAGAATTGCTGAGAGAGGCCATATGTTTGGATGTGTGCTAGAATTAATGAGATAGATCATCTGTGTTAATGTGTGCTGGAATTAATGAGATAGGCAATTTGTTTGGATGTGTGCTAGAAATGATGAGATAGACCATATGTGATGATGTGTGCTATAATTAAGGAGGTAGACCATATGTAAGGAAGTGCTAGAATTGATGATATAGACCAACTGTGCTGATGTGTGCTATAATTGATGAGATAGGTCATCTGCGCTGACGTGTGCTCGAACTGATGAGATAGACAATCTGTGCTGATGTGTGTTAGAACTGATGAAATAGAACATCTGTGTAAATGTATGTTAGAACTGATGAAGTTGTCCACCTGTGTGGATGTCTGCTAGAATTCATGTGTGCGAGATGGATAGCCAACTATGTGATGTCGACTAGTATCTGTGGTACCTGTGTGGAGATCTGGTGGCATTTGTGTAGACGGCGGACATAACGGTCAGCTGAAATTCGCGTGTGAGACTTACATGGAATGTGCGTGAATGTCAGCTAGAACCTGTGAGGGAGATGAGTAATTAGCCAGTGTGGAGATCTACTAGAATTCGTGTGGGAGGTGAGGAATGAGATTTCAAAAATAATCAGGTAGTTGTTTCTGTTTTGTTTGCGATTAGTGCCATGTTTCCTTATCCGGTCACAACAGGGGGACATAATCGTTCAGTCGAGAGTTACCGCTAGCTGTAGACACAACGCGGAAGTAGAGCCAGTAGACTGACGCTTAACACCACCAGAGCGACCAACACCTGGTGACACACAGTACCACCAAAGAGATGAGGATCACCCGGGCCCAAGTCCCAGAACTCCCGTTCAATCTCTAGGTTATATTTAAGGCCTCCGACGATTTTTGGATGGTGCCTTGAAATAAAATTTAAAAAAATGCGTCCCATATTTGGGCGAATTTCATTTTAAAGTTAACAGTCTCCGATTGTGTGCTGGATCTTCCAGAGACAGTAGGGGTTTTTGTTGTGTTAACAATGCTGACAAATCTTTGTTTAGAATGAGTTACACCTAATGCCTGTAGATCAGAAGAAAGAAATTGAAGGCTGCTCGCACAGTACTGATTAGTAAGAATTATCATCATCTCATCACTCCGGACAGATCCATAGGTGCTCCGATCTCCTCATCAAAAGCTTCACAAGTGTAAAATGACTGATGAGGCCTGTTCTGTATTGATTAATAAAACGTCTTGTCCCCTTGGTGAAATATTTATTTGTTGCAGCTCGAGGCCGCACCCTCATATCCATCAGTCTAGACAGGGATACGAAGTCATGCTCGTTGTCACGGTAAGTGCTAAATAATTATTCAATAAAATTGCACAATACTCGATTACACAATCTGTTGTAGCTAGCGTTAAACTGTATGGCACTCACAATTCTAGACAAATCGACCCATAAAATATTTGCAGATATTTTAAGCAGTTTCTGTAATCATATTGCTGATCTCATAGCGATTATAGGCTGAGTGTAGCGAGGAGTTTATACAGACTGTGAGACAACTGGACGAGATGAGGTGAACAGTTCTTTTCATTTGTCGTCCTTCTTCGTCACAAAACATGGTAGTTGAATGTTAAATATGACTCGTCGGGTATACATACCTACATGCTCGCAGGACTGTAGTTTAGATTTATGAGGCCTCGTGAAGTCATTTATTGTACACCCCTGTTCCCTTAACTAAACTTCAGCGTTGCTATTGCCATTCTATGTTAATGCTAGAACACTAATGTCATGCAGGTTCCATAACCATGAAGATAATACAAATATACACATGTGTGAATGCTTATTACCGTATGCCAGCCTGAGTGTTTGGCTGCCTAAATACGCCAGTTCGTCCAAGCATCCTAGTTGTCGTCAGTATATTATTATGTCATGGCTGTGAGCGTCAACGGCTCTAGTGTCTGACTCACATATTTAGAAGAATCTTTGTTCAAATCTATGATTAAATCTATGTTCAAATCTATGATCACGTCTATGATCAAATCTATGTTTAAATCTATGATCGATTCTATGATCAAATCTATGTTCAAATATATGTTCAATTCTATGATCAAGTCTAGGATAAAATCTATGTTCAAATCTATGATCAAATCTATGTTCAAATCTATGTTCAAATGTATGTTCAAATCTATGTTCAAATCTATGATCAAATCTATGTTCAAATCTATGTTCAAATGTATGTTCAAATCTATGTTCAAATCTATGATCAAATCTATGTTCAAATCTATGTTCAAATCTATGATCCAATCTATGTTCAAATCTATGATCAAATCCATGTTCAAATCTATGATCAAATCTATGATCAATTCTATGATCAAATCCATGTTCAAATATATGTTCAAATCTATGATCAAGTCTAGGATCAAATCTATGTTCAAATCCAGGTTCAAATCTATAATCAAATCCATGTTCAAATCTATGATCAAATCTATGATCAATTCTATGATCAAATCTATGATCAAATCTATGTTCAAATCTATGTTCAAATCTATGTTCAAATCTATGATCAAATCTATGTTCAAATCTATGATCAAATCTATGTTCAAATCTATGTTTAAATGTATGTTCAAATCTATGTTCAAATCTATGATCAAATCTATGTTCAAATCTATGTTCAAATCTATGATCCAATCTATGTTCAAATCTATGATCAAATCCATGTTCAAATCTATGATCAAATCTATGATCAATTCTATGATCAAATCCATGTTCAAATATATGTTCAAATCTATGATCAAGTCTAGGATCAAATCTATGTTCAAATCCAGGTTCAAATCTATAATCAAATCCATGTTCAAATCTATGATCAAATCTATGATCAATTCTATGATCAAATCTATGATCAAATCTATGTTCAAATCTATGTTCAAATCTATGTTCAAATCTATGATCAAATCTATGTTCAAATCTATGATCAAATCTATGTTCAAATCTATGTTTAAATGTATGTTCAAATCTTTGATCAAATCTATGATCAAATCTATGTTCAAATCCATGATCAAATCTATGTTCAAATCTCTGATCAAATCTATGATATATAATGCTACACGGTACGTTGTCTTAGTAGCATTTCTCTCATATTTCTATCTTTGTTGTTAGCTGTACCAGACATTGAACAAAAAAGACACAAAGAACAGATGAAACAATGGATTGCCTAACATATTTCCACGTATCTCTTCAGTGCAATACAACAGTAGCAATTGATTGCCTAACATATTTCCACGTATCTCTTCAGTGCAATACAACAGTAGCAATTGAATACATCTAAGTAAATAACTAAGTATATGTAGAAATTGTCAAGATTTGTGTAAACAGAAAGGCGTGCTGGTAAAATTGGCAATTACTTTTGATTGTGCTTTGTGTTGTCTCTCATATAGAAGAATTCATTTATTTCCTTCCATGTATTCGTTTGTTACTTTAGTACGCACATAAGAGATACAACGAAAAATGCCAGGCAATAAATTGTGCAGACTGTTGTTTGTGTTTTCTTTGTTCAAACTTACTACGGAGAATGATTGTTCTGAAAAAGAAAAACGCCATCTTGAAGCGAACACACCGGACGTTTTCTGGTCGTCAAACACCCATAGCAACCGACCCAGTATAGGAGGCCACTTTTCGTTATTTTTAAGCCCAGGGGACCTAATATAATCCAACCAATGAGTTGAAGGGGGTTTCTGGGGCCTGCCCCCTGGTGATCCATATCCAAATGGTAGCACCTTGTGTCACCGGGTGCTTATCGCTGGATGTGATATCCTCGTAGGGTTGAATGTCAATCAATGAAACACCCATCCATGAATGTTATGACCACTGCCTTTTCCTATCATAAATTCCCAGGTCACGCCAAGCTCATGGTTTCGGGTTAGTTTTCATCCAGATCATTCATGTCTGATTCAAGTTGTACTCTGATCATAGTTGTGCCCCCCCCCCTTTCTCCCCACACCCCCTTTCCAAAGTTTGGCGTATTTTTTAACCAATTAACACATCTCTTTGACACTGATCATATTTATTGACAAGTATTTGGTCACTATGTTTGTAGATAACATTTTAAAATTCTGTAAACAAATCGACCACCCAAAACATCCGTCTCCAGGCTGGAGGTTTACTTGAGAGTGGTCAGAAAGTAGGCCAGACCAACTAGCACCACCGACAGCTGCAGTGAGAACACGGGTCTCCAACCTGTGTGGGAATGGAGGTCATCTGTTGCAAACTGGAGGAGGCACGGGCGTCAACTCAAAGACAACATGCATCGGTCCTATACAGATTTGTAAGGGGTGGGGGGGGGGGGGGGCCTTAGGAAGCCTAAGCCTATTCCAGAGTGCTTGAATAATAATAATAATAATAATAATAATAATAATAATAATAATAATAATAATAATAACAATGATAATATGCTCAAGGGCACATAAATACAGTAATATATTTTAAATAATATTTGCAGACAAAAACCACACATACACACACAAAAACGTAAAGCCTGAACATGGTGGGGAAGGAGGGAAGGGTGAAGGGGACTGGCAAATTAGTTCCCTTACCATTTTAGGGTGGACGGGGGTTGAAGGCGCCTAAGTTCTGAGGATCCAGCTCGCATGGGAGTAAGGTCCCATTGAACCATTTGAGTATTTCAATGATTATATAAAAGTTGCATACGAACATAAGCAGGTGCATCGCAATCTTTTAAAGTTACGTCAGGAATAATACAGGGATGTGTGCTAGCTCCATGATATTTATAACATACATCGACAATTTATGCAAAGAAGCAGAGAGCGAAAAAAACATGATATCTCAGAATTGTTATTTGTAGATAACCAAGTAATAATAGCTGAAACAGAAGAGAGTTTACAAAACTATACAGACCAAGTCAATACTAAGTGTGAGAAATATAACATTACGATAAACATTGATAAGACAGAGATAATGGCGATAGGTAGACAAGAAGAAACCATAACAATTAAAGTAAATAAAACGGAAATAAAAAACAAAAACGAACGAATTTAAATATCTAGGGTCATTATTCACCTCATATAGAAGAATGGATATAAAAATCAACAGACGATGTGTGAAAGCAGATCAGGTTATGGGACAATTAACATCCTTTCTGATGCGTAGAAAGATACCGCTGTTACCCACAGAAAATCTCATAAGAACTGTTTTTTGGCCAACATTGTGCTACCAGTGCCAAACATGGGCCCTTACAATTCATTAAAGAACAACAAGTGAAATGGTTTGGCCACTTGATAAGAATGCCTTGTTTCCAACTGCCACATAGAGCCACGCTGAAGAAATATAATGAATACAGAGCAAAGGAAAGACCATACAAGAGAGGATCGACATCTTCAGGGGCAACTTAACAGACATGAATACCAGCTTGTACAGTGAATTGGAAAAAGCGTACAAATGCTTCTTACATTATGAGCTTTGTAGCAATAAACATGGCTTACATTTATGTTATCGATGTTTCCCTTTAAGGAAACTTTGTTGACGAAACGTTCAGTCTTAAATTTTGAGTTTGTTTTTACGTTACATCCGTTGAGCTTTCAAGTTTGTGTTGTGTTTGATACTTTTTTGGGCTTAGCTTTTTTTTTTTTCACTCAAAAAATAAAAGGTGCCGGTAATGGATACCGTTGTCTACTGTCAAAGCGAAATAAGAGCCTTGCATTCTGGAACCCTTGTTCAACGTTACTACTACCACCACCAGCCATTGCTACCCTCCCAGACCACTAGCAGTGCTACTTCTACTATTATTGCTGCTGCTGATAATTTAACTTTTGCTTTTACTAATGCTTATAATGGTGATGTGGATGATGATGATAATAATAATATTAATAGTAAATGAAGCAAAAGTAATAATGACAAAACAGTAATTCAGCTCTGCTTCATCGGCTTCTCCTACACGTTTATGATTTCGTTGCTTTCTTTTCTTCCCCCCCCCCCCCCCCGACACGTTCTCCCTCCCCTCTTCTCCCCGTCCTCTCCTCCATTTCTTCTTCTTTTTTTTTCTTCTTGTTCTTCTTCTTGTTCTTCTTCTTGTTCTTCTTCTTCTTCTTCTTCTTCTTCTTCTTCTTCTTCTTCTTCTTCTTCTTCTTCTTCTTCTTCTTCTTCTTCTTCTTCTTCTTCTTCTTCTTCTTCTTCTTCTTCTTCTTCTCTTCTTCTTCTTCTTCTTCTTCTTCTTCTTCTTCTTCTTCTTCTTCTTCTTCTTCTTCTTCTTCTTCTTCTTCTTCTTCTTCTTTTTTTCTTCTTCTTCTACTTCTTCTTCTTCTTTTTCTCCTCCTGTCATCTCTGTCAATCAATACCTAAAGCTGTTATTGTCTCCATATGACATACATACCCAAGACACAAACGAGCTGAGGTGACTGGTGTAAGGGTTAGATGGGGCACCTACCCAGTGAGCAGACACAGAGGGACATCCGCTCTAGCCGGTAGTGGACATCGATCACCCGCCACTTGTCGTGGTTGGAACATTTGTGGCTGTACTTGATCTCATCAACACACTCCAGGGCGCTTCGGACGCCGCTGGTTTCATATGGGAACAAAAAGTCATGGCTGATAACTGAATGATATACAAGTGAGTCGGAAAGACATGGTCAGTGAGTGAGTGAAACATGAGTCAGTCAGACAGTTATGGTCAGTGAGTGAGTGATACATGAATCTATCAGACAGTCATGGTCAGTGCGTGAGTGATACATGAGTCTGTCAAACAGTCTTGGTCAGTAAGTCAGTGATACATGAGTCAGTCAGACAGTCATGGTCAGTGAGTGAGTGATACATGAGTCAGTCAGACATTCATGGTCAGTGAGTGAGTGATACATGAGTCAGTCAGACAGTCATGGTCAGTGAGTAAGTGATGCATGAGTCAGTCAGACAGTCATGGTCAGTGAGTGAGTGATACATGAGTCAGTCAGACAGTCATGGTCAGTGAGTGAGTGATACATGAGTCAGTCAGACAGTCATGGTCAGTGAATGAGTGATACATGAGTCAGTCAGACAGTCTTGGTCAGTGAGTGAGTGATACATGAGTCAGTCAGACAGTCATGGTCAGTGAGTGAGTTATACATGAGTATGTCAGACAGTCATGGTCAGTGAGTGAGTGATACATGAGTCTGTCAGACAGTCATGGTCAGTGAGTGAGTGATACATGAGTCAATCAGACAGTCATGGTCAGTGCGTGAGTGATACATGAGTCAGTCAGAGAGTCATGGTTAGTGCGTGAGTGATACATGAGTCTATCAGATAATTATGGTCAGCGAGTGAGTGATACATGAGTCTATCAGATAATTATAGTCAGTGAGTAAGTGATACATTAGTCTGTCAGACAGTCATGGTCAGTGAGTGAGTGATACATGAGTCTGTCAGAAAGTCATGGTAAGTGCGTGAGTGAGTGATACATAAGTCAGTCAGACAGTCATGGTCAGTGCGTGAGTGAGTGATACACGAGTCAGTCAGACAGTCATGGTCAGTGAGTGAGTGATACATGATTCTGTCACACAGTTTTGGTCAGTGAGTGAGTGATACATGAGTCTGTCAGACAGTCATGGTCAGTGCGTGAGTGAGTGATACATGAGTCAGTCAGACAGTCATGGTCAGTGAGTGAGCAATACATGAGTCTGTCAGACAGTCATGGTCAGTAAGTGAGTGATACATGAGTCTGTCAGACAGTCATGGTCAGTGAGTGAGTGATACATGAGTCTGTCAGACAGTCATGGTCAGTGAGTGATACATGTGTCTGTCAGACAGTCATAGTCAGTGAGTGAGTGAGTGATACATGAGTCTGTCAGACAGTCATGGTCAGTGAGTGAGTGAGTGATACATGAGTCAGTCAAACAGTCATGGTCAGTCAATGAGTGAGTGATACATGAGTCTGTCAGACAGTCATGGTCAGTGAGTGAGTGATACATGAGTCAGTCAGACAGTCATGGACAGTGAGTGAGTAATACATGAGTCTGTCAGACAGTCATGGTCAGTAAGTGAGTGATACATTAGTCTGTCAGACAGTCATGGTCAGTGAGTGAGTGATACATGAGTCAGTCAGACAGTCATGGTCAGTGAGTGAGTGATACATGAGTCTGTCAGACAGTCATGGTCAGTGCGTGAGTAAGTGATACATGAGTCACTCAGACAGTCATCGTCAGTCAGTGAGTGAGTGATACATGAGTCTGTCAGACAGTCATGGTCAGTGAGTGAGTGATACATGAGTCAGTCAGAAAGTCATGGTCAGTGAGTGAGTGAGTGATACATGAGTCTTTCAGACAGTCATGGTTAATGAGTGAGTGAGTGATACATGAGTCTGTCAGACAGACAGTCATGGTTAAGTCAATCAGACTGAGTCAGAGTGTGAGTGATACATGAGTCTGTCAGACAGTCAGAGTGATCAGTCAGACAGTCATGATCAGTGAGTGAGTGATACATGAGTCAATCAGACTGTCATGGTCAGTGATTGAGTGTGAGTGATACATGAGTCTGTCAGATAGTCATGATCAATGTGTGAGTGATACATGAGTCTGTCAGACAGTCATGATCAGTGAGTGAGTGATACATGAGTCAATCAGACTGTCATGGTCAGTGATTGAGTGTGAGTGATACATGAGTCTGTCAGACAGTCATGATCAGTGAGTGAGTGATACATGAGTCAATCAGACTGTCATGGTCAGTGATTGAGTGTGAGTGATACATGAGTCTGTCAGACAGTCATGGTCAGTGAGTGAGTGAGTGATACATGAGTCTGTCAGACAGTCATGGTCAGTGAGTGAGTGAGTGATACATGAGTCAGTCAGACAGTCATGGTCAGTGAGTGAGTGAGTGATACATGAGTCAGTCAGACAGTCATGGTCAGTGAGTGAGTGATACATGAGTCAGTCAGACAGTCATGATGAGTGAGTGAGTGATAACATGAGTCTGTCAGACAGTCATGGTCAGTGAGTGAGTGATGACACATGAGTCAGTCAGACAGTCATGGTCAGTGAGTGAGTGAGTGATACATGAGTCTGTCAGACAGTCATGGTCAGTGAGTGAGTGATACATGAGTGATACATGAGTGAGTGAGTCAGACAGTCATGTCAGTGAGTGAGTGAGTGATCATGAGTCAGACAGTCATGGTCAGTGAGTGAGTGAGTGATACATGAGTCAGTCAGACAGTCATGGTCAGTCAGTGAGTCAGTCATGTCAGAGTGAGTGATACATGAGTCAGTCAGACAGTCATGGTCAGTGAGTGAGTGAGTGAGTCATGAGTCAGTCAGACAGTCATGGTCAGTGAGTGAGTGAGTGATACATGAGTCAGTGAGTGAGTCAGACAGTCATGGTCATGGTCAGTGAGTGAGTGATACATGAGTCAGTCAGACAGTCATGGTCAGTGAGTGAGTGATCTACATGAGTCAGTCAGACAGTGATACATGGTCACAGTCATGGTGTGAGTGAGTGAGTGATACATGAGTCAGTCAGACAGTCATGGTCAGTGGTGAGTGAGTGATACATGAGTCTGTCAGACAGTGTCAGAGTGAGTATACATGAGTCAGTCAGACAGTCATGGTCAGTGCGTGAGTGAGTGATACATGAGTCTGTCAGACAGTCATGGTCAGTGAGTGAGTGATACATGAGTCTATCAGATAAGTCATGGTCAGTGAGTGAGTGATACATGAGTCTGTCAGACAGTCATGGTCATGAGTGAGTGATACATGAGTCAGACAGTCATGGTCAGTGAGTGAGTGATACATGAGTCAGTCAGACAGTCATGGTCAGTGAGTGAGTGAGTGATACATGAGTCTGTCAGACAGTCAGTCATGGTCAGTGAGTGAGTGATACATGAGTCTGTCAGACAGTCATGGTCAGTGAGTGAGTGAGTGATACATGAGTCTGTCAGACAGTCATGGTCAGTGAGTGAGTGAGTGATACATGAGTCAGTCAGACAGTCATGGTCAGTGAGTGAGTGATACATGAGTCTGTCAGACAGTCATGGTCAGTGAGTGAGTGATACATGAGGATGTCAGACATGGTCAGTGAGTGGTCAGTGTCAGACAGTCATGAGTGAGTGAGTCTGTCAGACAGTCATGAGTCAGTGAGTGAGTGATGTGAGTGATACATGAGTCATCAGACAGTCATGGTGAGTGAGTGAGTGATACATGAGTCTGTCAGACAGTACATGAGTCATGAGTCAGTCAGACAGTCATGGTCAGTGAGTGAGTGATACATGAGTCTGTCAGACAGTCATGGTCAGTGAGTGAGTGAGTGATACATGAGTCTGTCAGACAGTCATGGTCAGTGAGTGAGTGATACATGAGTCTGTCAGACAGTCATGGTCAGTGAGTCATGTCAGACAGTCATGGTCAGTGAGTGAGTGAGTGATACATGAGAGTCTGTCAGACAGTCATGGTCAGTGAGTGAGTGAGTGATACATGAGTCAGTGTCAGACAGTCATGGTCAGTGAGTGAGTGATGAGTCGTGACAGTGGTCAGTGATGAGTGATACATGAGTCAGTCAGACAGTCATGGTCAGTGAGTGAGTGAGTCATGGTCAGACAGTGGTCAGTGAGTGAGTGAGTACATGAGTCATGGTCAGTGAGTGAGTGATACAGAGTCAGTCAGACAGTCATGGTCAGTGAGTGATACATGAGTGAGACATCATGGTCAGTGAGTGAGTGAGTGAGGTGTCAGACAGTCATGGTCAGTGAGTGAGTGATACATGAGTCTGTCAGACAGTCATGGTCAGTGAGTGATGTGAGTGATACATGAGTCAGTCAGACAGTCATGGTCAGTGAGTGAGTGAGTGATACATGAGTCTGTCAGACAGTCATGGTCCAGTGAGTGAGTGAGTGATACATGAGTCTGTCAGACAGTCAGTGACATGAGTCAGTCAGACAGTCAGTGAGTGAGTGAGTGATACATGAGTCTGTCAGACAGTCATGGTCAGTGAGTGAGTGAGTGATACAGAGTCAGTCAGACAGTGGTCAGTGAGTGAGTGAGTGATACATGAGTCTGTCAGACAGTCATGGTCAGTGAGTGTGAGTGATACATGAGTCTGTCAGACAGTCATGGTCACAGTCATGAGTCTGTCAGACAGTCATGGTCAGTGAGTGAGTGAGTGATACATGAGTCAGTCAGTCATGACAGTCATGGTCAGTGAGTGAGTGAGTGATACATGAGTCTGTCAGACATGATGGTCAGTGAGTGAGTGAGTGATACATGAGTCAGTCAGACAGTCATGGTCAGTGAGTGAGTGAGTGATACATGAGTCTGTCAGACAGTCATGGTCAGTGAGTGAGTGATACATGAGTCTGTCAGACAGTCATGGTCAGTGAGTGAGTGAGTGATACATGAGTCAGTCAGACAGTCATGGTCAGTGAGTGAGTGATACATGAGTCTGTCAGACAGTCATGGTCAGTGAGTGAGTGATACATGAGGATGTCAGACAGTCATGGTCAGTGAGTGAGTGAGTGATACATGAGTCTGTCAGACAGTCATGGTCAGTGCGTGAGTGAGTGATACATGAGTCAGTCAGACAGTCATGGTCAGTGAGTGAGTGAGTGATACATGAGTCTGTCAGACAGTCATGGTCAGTGAGTGAGTGAGTGATACATGAGTCTGTCAGACAGTCATGGTCAGTGAGTGAGTGATGGAATCAGTCATGAGTGAGTGAGTGAGTGATACATGAGTCAGTCAGACAGTCATGGTGGTCAGTGAGTGATACATGAGTCTGTCAGACAGTCATGGTCAGTGAGTGAGTGATACATGAGTCTCATGTCAGACAGTCATGGTCAGTGAGTGAGTGATACATGAGTCTGTCAGACAGTCATGGTCATGGTCAGTGAGTGAGTGAGTGAGTCTGTCAGACAGTCATGGTCAGTGAGTGAGTGAGTGATACATGAGTCTGTCAGACAGTCATGGTCAGTGAGTGAGTGATACATGAGTCTGTCAGACAGTCATGGTCAGTGAGTGAGTGAGTGATACATGAGTCTGTCAGACAGTCATGGTCAGTGAGTGAGTGAGTGATACATGAGTCTGTCAGACAGTCATGGTCAGTGAGTGAGTGAGTGATACATGAGTCTGTCAGACAGTCATGGTCAGTGAGTGAGTGATACATGAGTCTGTCAGACAGTCATGGTCAGTGAGTGAGTGATACATGAGTCTGTCAGACAGTCAGACAGTCATGGTCAGTGAGTGAGTGAGTGGTGATACATGAGTCTGTCAGACAGTCATGGTCAGTGAGTGAGTGATACATGATTCTGTCAGACAGTTATTGTCAGTGAATGAGTGATACATGAGTCTGTCAGACAGTCATGGTCAGTGAGTGAGTGAGTGAGTGAGTGAGTGATACATGAGTCTGTCAGACAGTCATGGTCAGTGAGTGAGTGATACATGAGTCTGTCAGACAGTCATGGTCAGTGAGTGAGTGAGTGATACATGAGTCAGTCAGACAGTCATGGTCAGTGAGTGAGTGAGTGATACATGAGTCTGTCAGACAGTCATGGTCAGTGAGTGAGTGATACATGAGTCTGTCAGACAGTCAGTGAGGGAGTGATACATGAGTCAGTGACAGTGAGTGAGTGAGTGATACATGAGTCAGTCATACAGTCATGGTCAGTGAGTGAGTGATACATGAGTCGGTCAGACAGTCATGGTCAGTGAGTGAGTGATACATGAGTCAGTTAGACGGTCATGGTCAGTGAGTGAGTGAGTGATACATGAGTCTGTCAGACAGTCATGGTCAGTGAGTGAGTGATACATGAGTCAGTCAGACAGTCATGGTCAGTGAGTGCGTGAGTGATACATGAGTCAGTCAGACAGTCATGGTTAGTGAGTGCATGAGTGATACATGAGTCAGTCAGACAGTCATGGTCAGTGAGTGCGTGAGTGATACATGAGTCTGTCAGACAGTCATGGTTAGTGCGTGAGTGAAACATGAGTCTGTCAGCTAGTCATGGTCAGTGTGTGAGTGAGTGATACATGAGTCGGTCAGACTGTCATGGTCAGTGAGTGAGTGATACATGAGTCTGTCAGACAGTCATGGTCAGTAAGTGAGTAAAACATGAGTGTGTCAGACAGTCATAGTCAGTGAGTGAGTGAGTGATACATGAGTTTGTCAGACAGTTATGGTCAGTGAGTGAATGAGTGATACGTGAGTTTGTCAGACAGGTATGGTCAGTGAGTAAGTGATACATGAGTCAGTCAGACAGTCATGGTCAGTGAGTGAGTGATACATGAGTCTGTCAGACAGTCATGGTCAGTGAGTGAGTGAGTGATACATGAGTCAGTCAGACAGTCATGGTCAGTGAGTGCGTGAGTAATACATGAGTCTTTCAGACAGTCATGGTCAGTGAGTGAGTGATACATGAGTCAGTCAGACAGTCATGGTCAGTGAGTGAGTGAGTGATACATGAGTCAGTCAGACAGTCATGGTCAGTGAGTGCGTGAGTGATACATGAGTCTCTCAGACAGTCATGGTCAGTGAGTGAGTGATACATGAGTCAGTCAGACAGTCATGGTCAGTGAGTGAGAGATACATGAGTCAGTCAGACAGTCATGGTCAGTGAGTGAGTGATACATGAGTCTATCAGATAATTATGGTCAGTGAGTGAGTGATACTTGAGTCTATCAGATAATTATGGTCAGTGAGTGAGTGATACTTGAGTCTATCAGATAATTATGGTCAGTGAGTGAGTGATACATGAGTCTATCAGATAATTATGGTTAGTGATTGAGTTAGTGATACATGAGTCGGTCAGACAGTCATGATTAGTAAGTGAGTGATACATGAGTCAGTCAGACAGTCATGGTCAGTGCGTGAGTATTAGATGAGTCAGTCAGACAGACAAGGTCAGTGACTGATTGATACATGAGTCTGTGAGACACGCATGGTCAGTGAGCTGTAGTAAACGATTCAATGAAACGTGTAGCAGTAAGACAGCCGTGGTCAGTGACTTAGTGACTGTCTGGTAGTCAATGAATGATTGTGACATGATGGTAGTCAATGAATGATTGTGACAGGATGGTAGTCAATGAATGATTGTGACAGGATGGTAGTCAATGAACGATTGTGACAGGATTGTAGTCAATGAATTATTGTGTGACAGGATGGTAGTCAATGAATGATTGTGACAGGATGGTAGTCAATGAATGATTGTGACAGGATTGTAGTCAATGAATTATTGTGTGACAGGATGGTAGTCAATGAATGATTGTGACAGGATGGTAGCTACACGAATGCTCAGTTACTTCATTAAATGTGAACGTTTAAGGTCATTACAGTTGATCGGGATGTCTTGGTTGTGAACACAGTTAGGTTGTTTCTATGGAGACAGGTTATGGAGTGAACGGTTGGTCTGAAGTGTTTCCGACGATGCAGTTTTTTGTGTGTGTGATCATAGCGGAATTTTGGTGGCAAGATTGAAGACAAACGACTGAAGCAAATAATGGAAAAAGAACGAGAGAGAGAGAGAGAGAGAGAGAGAGAGAGAGAGAGAGAGAGAGAGAGAGAGAGACAGATAAGAAAAAGAGAGAATTAAGTAAAAAAAAAGAAAGAAATTAAATGATGAAAAAAGAGAGAAGACAGAAAAATAATGAGCCACAGATGTGAGGAGAAAGAAAAGATAGAAAACGGGAGAAGAACAAAGAGAAGTATAAATTTAGCGAGAATATATAAGATAGAAGTAGAAATAAAGAAAAGAACATAAAAATGGAGTGAGCAAAACAGGTCAATATTTAAGAGAGAAAGATCTGAGTAGAATGAGAATAGAAAGAGCGAGAAAGAACGAACAAACGAATGAACGAACGAAGGAACGAACTTTATTTTCAAAGGGTCACAAATTGGGCACGCAGGCCCGTCTTTCATTCGGCCCTTTCAAACTCCCGTCTTTCACACTGCAGCTGTATTTTATCAATAAGCATGTTATATTTAAATGGTAATATGCATATTATGAATATCAAAAAAAAGAAGGAAAAAAAGCACAAAAGCTTGAGTAGTAAAAATGCATGCAAACGCACACACACCCACTCACGTAAACACACCCACATACCTTCACACACACATAAAAACACCCCATTCACCCACATGCATAGCTACATACCCACACAGACACGCACATTCCACACACATACAAACATACAGATATAAACACAGAGAAACACCCATAGAAACAAATGCAGACACACACACAAACAGACATACGCGCACATACCCAACCACACACGCTGATACACACACACACACACATGCGACACACACACAAACACACAAACCAGCATACACACACAGACACCTATGCACAAACACACGCAGACACAAACACACACAGATACACTCGGAGACACAAACACACACACAATCGCAGACACACACACACTCGCTGATGCTCACCCAGACACACACACACACCATAGACACACACACACGCAGAAGCATACGCAGGCATTCATACACACAGGCATACGCACAGATACACGCAGACACACACCCTCAGACACACAAACGCATACACATACGCAGACATACATATACACAAGCACACACGCAGATACACATACACACATGTTGACACATCCAGAGACACTACACACAGAGATACATACAGACAAACACATACAGGGGCATAAACAGATGTATACACACAGAGACGCGCATATACACAGGCATTCCGCAGACACACATACACATACAAGCACATACACACAGTCCTGCTACACATACACACAAACGAACACACACAGACACACATACATAGATACACACCCACAGACACACAATACAAATATCTTTACACACAGAGACCCACGTATACACAGGTATTCATGCCATCACACAAATACACACAGGCACATACCAACACACACCCACACACACAAACACAACAAAGACACACACACAGTCACATACACACACACACAGTCACATACACACACACACACATAGAGAGAGAAAGAGAGAGAGAGAGAGAGAGAGAGAGAGAGAGAGAGAGAGAGAGAGAGAGAGAGAGAAGAGAGGAAAAGAAATAATAAATCATGTGACTTACATACAAAACTTCTGCATATCTCCAGTCAGAGAGAACTTGTCCACACAGCTGTCTACGTCACAGGGGGGCGGGTTGTCTTGCGCCATGACTGAAACATCAAACATTTTTGGAAACACATTGTCACCTCGTCATCCTCATTTCGTGATATTCACACAAACCAGTGTTTATTACTGAATACTTAACCACTCTCTTCTTCTTGTTCTCTATCTCTTTCTGTCTCGCTGTCTCTCTTGTTCTCCCTCTCTCTTTCTCTGTGTAAATTTGTGGTCTGCAGTTTAGTACCACCCATTAAATAACAGGTTTCTCTATACTGTAACGGAATATTGCATTCATAGATATTTGAGGGCTCAGCAAGGGCTGTTATTACGGCCATTATTCTGCTCCAAGATACGCTCTAATAGAGCGAAAATATCACTACTCACTAGGTGGTCTTAAAATTATGAATTGTGCTGTATAATATTTATGTTTTTGTCTATGTGTGCCTGAACGTGTACGGTGCATGCAGTCACAGATTTGATTATCTTGTGACTTCTTCCACTTGCCAGACCACCGGCTCCCCCCCCCCCGCCCCTCCCTACACACACACCTCAATAATGTTATGGTGGAAACAAGAAGGCCGAGGCTCTCATGGCGACTAGAAGAAAACAGGAAGAAAATAAAAACCCACACGCATCAGGGACGTGCTAATGACATCACTGAAAGCCTTCACAATAAATCATGACACTTGGCAGGTTGCACAAGACAAGCCAACATGTCAAACGTTTATCTAGAGAGGTTCAGCGACTTATGAATCATCTAGAAAAAGAACAGCTCAACAACACAGGCTTACTGGAGAGATTCGGATAACAGGCCGTTTTCCTACAGACACTGGTCCGTGCCCTCATTGTCCTAGACTCTCCCAGGCCCGCATTGGACTTATAAGTTACCTCCGGACTCACAGACAATCATGTGGTCGAGCTTTTCTTTTTTTTTTCTCAAAAGGACTTGGACTTGGACAGACAATCATAAAAGCGACTTTCAATGCCCACCTAGAAATAGGTGTTTCGTCCTTTTTAGGACGAAATTTTATGTTATTTAAAGCCCCACCCAGGCTTTTGCCAGGGGCCGCAATATAGGCAGGCCATAAATATGGCCATTTGTCTGAACGCGGTTTCTGGGACCTCTCCACGGCGATCCTCATCCGCATGGTGGCACATTGTGGTATCGGGTGTTTATCGCTTGTGTGATGTCCTGGTGGGGTAGAAAGTCAGTCAGACAGACAATCATGGTCCAAAGGACGCTGTGTGGAAAATCGCGCGCCTCTACGAAATACGCCTGGCCAAATCAAAGGGAATCAACGCAAACTGGAAACACCAAGTAAGACGAGGGAAGACATACACATGTAACAAGAGGGTGGAGGACGAGCGGTCTGATTCGGATGGAAGCATCAAGCCCAGAAATGGCACAAACACTAGAGTTAAGTCACGAAAGTGACGCAAATAACCCAGACCACAAATATAGGCAGTCAGAAAGTGGTCGAGCTTTTCTTTTTTTTTTTTTTCAAAAGGACTTGCACTTGGACAATCAACAGTTTCATGACGGAGGTAAGAAAAGATGGGCCTAATCACTTGTTATAGACGAACAAAGATGTGTGTATGTACCTATGGAGTCCAAGATGACCATGGCCAAACAGAGTCTCAACATGGTGCGACAGGCGATGTCAGGTCTTCACTGGTGGACACACAACAGCTGTGCGAGTCCCGTCCGTCTGCAGACAATTTTCAGCGAGAAAAGTACGTACATATGTAAACAGCTGGACAGTTGTTAAGCAGAGCATTAAACATTTCTTTTAACCTAACTGTTAACTTTGAGGTTTGCTCTTTTTTTCTCCCTAGATCAGAGGTCTCCAACGAGGGAACAACACCCCCACCCCTGCCTTTTTTTTTAGGGTGGCGCATAGAAGTTTCAAGGGCGGAGTAAAGCAATGTTTGAAACTGAGTGTACTTACTGGTATTTGTAATAATCGGGGATTTCAGCTTCAACGGTTGTGAAAACAAAACATCGTAGTAAAGATTCCACGTCACGGCATTCAGGACAAACTAAGCTAAGCTCCCTCAACAACATACAGTGAAGTGTTTCCATACTGATGGTATCTGTTGTCATCTGGTTAACTACTCGTCTTGCCTTTCCTCTGAATCTCGAGTGACGCCAGAGCCCACAACCACTGCTCCGTGTATCATTGTCTCCAAGCAGGGAGGATCTTCCATTTTCCCTGTTACCCGATGCAACAGATTCGATTTGAGATCACCTCTGCCTCCTGCAGTTACGGTACATCCTTAAAAGCCCCCATTATAACCGGCATATCTGCATAACCGGCATTCCCAGACACACCTGAATGGCCCGAAAACATATCCATTTGACTCTCACCTCTGGATTGATGTCATCTATTCCATACACAGAAAATCTGACCACACCTTCCTGAGCATGCTTCCCGAATCCAACACTGTGACAACATGGACACATTTCAAACCGGCACTTTCTAAGCACAATGCAAATGTCTTTGTTAGTTTATCAAAACTTGAGCATAATTAATTTATGAAACACAGAACACAATTTGTCATTTTCTTGTAACGTTGAGGAACAGAAGATAAAATGGTTTCAAAGTCTTTCTAGAACAATACCATACACCAAAAAGATGTTTCATCCAAGAGATGCCAATTTCAGAGCACCGTGAACCCAAGGAGAAGATGGATTACTGACATTCAAATATGTGTAGGTTCACAAGTGATGAGGGTAACAAACAAATTAACAAACGTAACCTGAAAAGAAACCGTTAAAGTAAAGAGTCCAAAACAGAAAGATAACAATCGACAAAACACAAATTACATAAAATGCCTGAGCCAAACCTTTGAAGTCGTATCTACGCACAGAAACTGTAGCGTCACTCAGATAGTCTGTCACACAGATGAATGATATCATTAAAGTCCCAGATGAATGATATCATTAAGTCTCAGATGAATGATATATATGTGTGTGTGTGTGTGTGTGTGTGCGAGTGTGTGTCCACGTGAGTTTACGGGAAACATTCAACACATGCAACCCGTCGTCTGTGTTTGGTGTGACTTACTTTGAAAGTCGTGCTTTATGACACTCCACAATATTTTATTTGATTTTGCGTCTTTAATGTCACAACACATTCAACTCTACTCAGATCAACCAGTATTTTCGTGATAATTTACTATTTAAAATTAAAAAAAAAAAACTGCATTGCTATCCGCCGGCTTTCTACAACTTATAATTTTGCTTCTCAGAATATTTCTAAAAACGTTAGTCATATTGTTCAGATTGCAAACAAGAACACCATCGAGTTCAACCAAACATGTGAAAGTTCTGTTTCGTCTGGGTCATGGATATTGTTTAAGCTTACAAGCTTTCCTGGCAAGAAAAAAAAACCCTACCATGGGAAAACTTTCATTTTTTTAACATAAAAAAAGCCATAAGATAACTATAAGTTTTTGTGTGTTTTTTTTTTTCGTCTTTTAAAAGTATAGTGTTCTAAACATTTTTGTTTAAATATTGCATTCTTTCTTCAGCGAACCAGTGTCAGTGCACTCCGATCAATGGGGCTAGTGCTCTGTCTTCAGCAAAAGAATTGTTTCCTGGGAAACCGGCCAGAGCTGTACCAAGCACATAATTTTAGACACATTGTTATAGACCATTCAGTCAACATCACGCCGGCCGCCTTTACTTCAAGTATTGGCTGGTTCCTATTATAGGCTCGGCTGGCCAGGCAGACACTTTCAGTTCTAAGGAACACAAAATCACCACTGTTGGAATTCGAACACAAGACTAGAGGGTCCGCAGACGAGGATCTAGTCGCTAAACTACCATATCACACACTTTTCACATACTTGAACTTTTTTACATAGGGAAAATATAGGCCGACTTTTTCACATAGGTAACATATAGGCCGACTTCTTCATATAGGGGACATATCGGCCGACTTTTTCATATAGGGGACATATGAGCCGACTTTTTCATATAGGGGACATATAGGCCGACTTTTTACATAGGGGACATATAGGCCGACTTTTTTATATAGGCAACATATAGGCCGATTTCTTCATATAGGGGACATAAAGGCCGACTTTTTTTTATAGGGGAGATATAGGCCGACTTTTCACAAAGGGCACACACAATTGGATTTTTTCTCAAAGGGCATACATAATTGGACGTTTTCACAAAGGGCACACTAAATTGGACTTCTTTCCCAAAGGGCACCTATAATTGGTCTTTTTCACAAAGGGCACACATGATCAGACTTTTTCACAATGGTACACATAGTAGGACTTTTTCACAAAGGACACATATAATCGGACTTTTTCACAAAGGACACATATAATCAGACTTTTTCACAAAGGACACATATAATCGGACTTTTTCACAAAGGACACATATAATCGGACTTTTTCACAAAGGACACATATAATCGGACTTTTTCACAAAGGACACATATAATCGGACTTTTTCACAAAGGACACATATAATCGGACTTTTTCACAAAGGGCACATATAATCGGACTTTTTCACAAAGGACACATATAATCGGACTTTTTCACAAAGGACACATATAATCGGACTTTTTCACAAAGGACACATATAATCGGACTTTTTCACAAAGGACACATATAATCGGACTTTTTCACAAAGGACACATATAATCGGACTTTTTCACAAAGGACACATATAATCGGACTTTTTCACAAAGGACACATATAATCGGACTTTTTCACAAAGGACACATATAATCGGACTTTTTCACAAAGGACACATATAATCGGACTTTTTCACAAAGGACACATATAATCAGACTTTTTCACAAAGGACACATGTAATCGGACTTTTTCACAAAGGACACATGTAATCGGACTTTTTCACAAAGGGCACACATGGACTTTTTCACAAAGGGCACACATAATTGGACTTTTTCACAAAGGCGAAACGTAAGCGGACGTTTTCCACAAAGTGGACACGTAGGCGGACATTTAATCAGGGTACTACTGGTACTAATACCATGTCAAGTCTCCATTGGCCACTGAAAAGGCGACGGAGCACGTATGAGAATATAATGATGTAGTATTGTAAATACTTTATTCTTGCATTCATTCATATTATTCATATATAGTGTTCACATTTATGTGTGAGCTCTAAGGCCCAATTTTAGAGAGGGAAAAACTCCGAACTAACCATTGACAAGCATCTCGTAAAAGGTGGTTTACCAGTGTATGCAGAAATTATATGTGTCCTACTGGGAGAAGAAGATATTACAGCCTAGCTGTAAACCACAAATCAGTGTGCCAGTCACCCTTCTAATAGTTATTTTTAGGACACAAAAATTTCATCACTGAATGGGTATACTTCAAATAATTTTGGAATAATCTATACTGAGGGGCAGAAGAAATGCTACAACGCTGGCTAAGACTGTGGACCTTACAGAAATAAAGAGCTCATAAATAAATCAATATTCTCGTTGATGGTCGACGCAAGTGTCGGCTCTGCCGTCTATGACTTGCTTGAGTGCTTCAGTGTCACATTTTCCTGACGCTTGTCTGTGACATTGTCTCTTTATTGGCAGTTAACATTATATGGCGCGCAATAATTCTTTATTGTGGCAATCAATCAAGAGAATCGTTATGCAAATTTACATACAATCAAATTTAACTTGTGTATATCCCCTTCTCCTTCTTCGCCACATACTCCTGCTGCTTCTTCTTCTTCTCTCTCTCTCTCTCTCTCTCTCTCTCTCTCTCTCTCTATTACTCTATCTCTCTCTCTTTCTTTGTGTGTCTTTCCAGCCTTAGCTCTTCTTTTATATGTCTGTTCTGGAGCATGTTTGAGCATTCACGACCCCCCCCCCCCCCGCCCCCACCCCAGCCAGATTCCCCTACCCACCGTTTGATATGATAGTTTGGTAACACTGACGTTACTCACAGAATTTTGTGTATTCAAGATATAACACATTCTGTCTTCCCCTGCTTCTGTTGCCGTGTATTTTCCACAAAAAGGACAACGACTGCATTGGGCCTTTTCTGGCCATGTCGACACAACTTGCTTGTCCCCATGGGTTTGATTACTGATCCAGTATTTGGCCGGTTAGTTTCTCAGCTTTCGTTTTTTTCAAAAAACTATCACCAGATCTATACGACGTTGTCTTGAGAAAACAATAGACATATCTATTCATCGTTTTCTTCAAACAACTATCAACAGATCTATACGACGTTGTCTTGAGAAAACAATAGACATATCTATTCATCGTTTTCTTCAAACAACTATCAACAGATCTATACGACGTTGTCTTGAGAAAACAATAGACATATCTATTCATCGTTTTCTTCAAAAAACTATCAACAGATCTATACGACGTTGTCTTGAGAAAACAATAGACATATATATTCATCGTTTTCTTCAAACAACTATCAACAGATCTATACGACGTTGTCTTGAAAACACAATAGACATATCTATTCATCGTTTTCCTAAAAAAACTATCACCAGATCTATACGACGTTGTCTTGAGAAAACAATAGACATATCTATTCATCGTTTTCTTCAAACAACTATCACCAGATCTATACGACGTTGTCTTGAGAACACAATAGACATATCTATTCATCGTTTTCTTGAGAAACCAATCGACAGATTCT